GACTTTCCATGGGGCTGATCACTAAGTTATTGTGCTTTGCTAATCGACTTGGAGCTCGCCGATTGAAACGCGCGAAAAACAATATGCAGATCTTGCCCTCGTACCAATTTTTTATTTACTGAATAAGCTACTGTAAGTCATCATTTTGAAAGACAACAATTTAAGCTGTCCGGAAAGACCTCTAGAATACAAAGGGAATGGAGACACGTCAGGGATAAATAGAAAAGAAAAACACGAAGTAGGAAGACTATGTCGACAGCACGAAATTGAGTTCTTCTTGCAAACGTTAAAACTCACAGGCAAACATAACAGTTAATTAATATTTCTTGAACTAGTTTTCTTGAATCATGTAACGCTGAAGACTGTCCAGAGTTTGTCAACTACCAATTGTCAACCTTTCCAGCACCAAGCATTGCTCTTTTTACTTTTGTTTTGAGGTGTATTGCTTCCTACGATGCCTAACTTCTTTCCACACTTATCATGTACATTTTGCATTGGATAGCGTCGGGTTCCATCATTAAGCCATCCGTATCTGCAACATAATGAACGATTAAGGAACTATGTTTATCAATTAATCATTCTGAGTGTAGTGTATTGCGTTACCTAAGCGTTACTATAGTCACGCTAAATCCTGTAAGACACGATCGGTACATGATTGTAAAAGTACATTCCTATGTAAAAGTAGTATTACTGATTCCTAGTATTGTATTGTGAATATAGCTTTTTGATTCTTTAATAAAATTCAGTTGAGCAATAGCAATGAAAGGAGTAACTTGACTGAGTCTAGACGAAACAACACTGAGTAATGGTGCATCCTCGTCACTTCCACTGACACTAAGATGATGATTACGTACACATTGCGGAGGTTAGGCATTTAGTAGAGAGAAAAATAATTTTATTTCAGACAGAATACAAGCAGAAAATAGGAAATTAAGCCAGTAAAATTCCGCCGGTTTGTTTATTTTCGTTTCCTATTCAATTGCTGGCAATTTTTCTACCTAAAATATTTCTGCAACTTCCCCACAAATAACTATAATATGTCAGATATTCCATTTTATTTATCATAGGCAGCAGTTGGAGTTAGGTGAGAGTGCTAATAGCATTGATGACTAAAATGAAAACGTACGTATAAAACGAAAAAGCCAAAGCTTTCAAACAGAACTTACAGGCACAATTCAAGACCGACTTCCCATGCTGCAAACAGCTGGTCGTATGTAGCGAGAGTGGCTCTGTTTATTTCACAGAGCCTTTGGGCCTCGTAATAATTTAGCTGATATCTTTTGCTTGTCACCGCTGCATGGAAGACGCCTTTAGCCTCAGGTTTATAGTAAATCGTCATATTATTGGTATCTGGAAAAGAGACAAATAACTAAACAAAAGCCGAGCAAAACAAACAAATTGTCAACAAATAAAAAAAAAACAACAACAACAAACTAAAATAATAAGTAAATAAATAAGTAAGGTTTGGAAAAAAGAAAAATAATGCAACAACAAACAACGTCTAGTCAACGTCTTATCATCCATGGCCGCCTCGCCGCTGTGTTGCATTTTCCAGTGTAGAAGTTGCGCTAGTGTTATTGTAATATGTGACCCTCCAAAGGAAAACGTAGACGAAGGTGAACGGACGGGCACGAGTGTAATGACACAGCACGCTATGCTTTTCACTAAATTGAATTTGCACATATGTTCATTTTAATTGTCATGGTGTTTCAGCGTAAAAAAAGTTATAAAATCAGATTAAAAGTAATCATAGTCTTGAAGCCATAACAAATTTAGGGATAAAAACTGAACAAATAGGAAGGCAACCCCAAAAACCTTGAGTAGGCTTGTCAAATACGGATGAATTACTCATCCTTTGATAGAAACCGCTTAGCGAGACTGTTTTGAGATAAAAGGGCAAAGAATAAAGTGTCAAATACTTGATAAATCGTTGCAAGTTACCTTTGTTGTCAGAATGTCAACGGAGGGACTCATCAGTGGGCAGAGAAATATTACCTAAAATTTGTCTGATGGTTCAGACTGGAAGTCTGGAGGTGGCTTTGTTGCTTTGCTTTGTTCGGGCTAGATAATTTTCTCCACGAGGTAGAAAATATTAAATAGAATAAACAGAATTATTTGTGTCAAGTGCGAAGCAACTAGAAGGAGCGGTAAGAGATTGCGTAAGTGCTACATATAGGACAAGAAATGACGCAATGCTGTTACGGTTTCTGTGAAGGTTACTGTAGTACATGAAGAAAGCGATCATCACGTGATATTAATGTCAGAAGAATGCGAAGCCAGTGACGTGGCGTAGCCACGTCGATATTTTTTCGCAAGATCTGCCGTGATAAGTCGGAAATCCTCGTGTTAAAAGCCGAGCGTTTAATTTGTTCCAAAATTTCCAAAAACGGATTTCATATTAAAATTATATTTGCAATTGCTTAAATATTTGCAAAATTTTGTTATTCGGAAGTCATAATTTGTTTTAGTTTTGCTTCCGAATACTAGTAGTTGAGAAACCCTCCCGTGCATGAATTTGCTTCGAAACTCATAGTCTATTGTTAACTAGATTATCAAACAAATTCCTTGAAAACTATTTTGGTACGCTCCTACATCCATTTATAATATAATAATCTAATATTACTTATATAGCGCTGATATCAATATTGCTATTTTCATTTATATCTATTCATTATATTTTTTCCGAATATACTAAAACGCAGCACAGCTGTAAGCACGTAGTCATTTAATAAAATATTCATTTAATTTTTCACCAGACAAACGTAGGCATTGCAGACCCATTTATATCAGTTGCAGTGAGTTGGGTGGCGGAGTGGATAGTTCACTGGGCTTGTAATCTGGTGGTCCGGGGTTCAAGCTCCACCCTGCTCCTCTCTGGATATGTTTTCTGCTCTCCCGAGTTCAATCTCTTGGCTGTGCATTGCACGTAGCTAACTGGTCTGTTTCCGGCCACATGGGATTTTGTAAATACTACTTTTTTTCACAAATGTTTATTTTAATTTGTTTGTATTGGCCCTGTAAAGCCCCACTAGGGAAGTGGTTAGTTAATATAATTGTTGTTATCTTTATTATCATCATTGTGATCATTACTATTATTATTAGTAGTAGTAGTATTATTATTATCACTATTATTATCATTATTATTATTATTATTATTATTATTATTATTGTTATTAACATCGTACTTACCAACGTTACATTTGTTGTCAATATAAGGAAGCACTTTAATCTCCAGGGGACAGCTGCACGAAAACATCGTTAGCTCCGGACCATTCTCGCACGATCCTCCATTTCTGCATGGGAATGTCAAGCATGGGAAGAACTTGGACAGATACTTTGAATAGAAATGTATTTTGCCTATTAGGACCGCTCATTGTTTATCGCCTGGAGTTTCGGAGGACGTTTGTTCTGTCAAGATAAAATTGACCTGATCCCCTGCACCAAGTGAACGTTTGTGCGCGAAGTTTAAATATTATAGATGAGCCTTGGCAAACTGGATAGTTCCATCTTCGAAATTCTCTTAATCAAAAAAAAAAAATATATGAATTTACTTACCCCCTTTTCCACTCCAAGATAATCAAACCCTGTTCTGCTTTGCATCCTATTTGGCTCCAAGATCCTTTCAGAATTACTGAGTTCGCAGGTAAACGTCTTATGGATCGAATCTCTTCCAAAGTTGAATGACAGGCAACTTTGTGGATAGTTTCGTAGACACTTGAGAGCACAGTCCATTTCACGCTTCACGGGCTTGATAAAGGTAATGTTGCCCACTAGTGATGTGCTTCGTATTCTGTAAAATGCCACTTCTTTGTGGATTTGGTTGTCATTGGGGTTTGCGATAGCGAATATCATATTTAACAGTATGAAAAGAACCAGAACTGATATCTTGGCTGTTAACTCGAGGATATATCCACGGAGAACCATGTTTAAGGGAAGGAAAACATAACAAGGGACATTTGCGATCACCAACTTTTTCCTTGGCTAGACAGTCTATGTAGAAATGGAACAAAGATATCGGTCATTTCGTAAAAGCGTTCCATATCACAATTTAGAAAATATTTACATGACTACTCTCTATAACGGTCTGTAAATAGAATTCTGTAAACTGGTATATTTTGTTGTATATTATATATTTTTTCAATGAATGTCCATTTTCTTATTCGGACACATTATTATCCTCCCTTCGTTTATTATGCAAAGGAAAAATGGATTAATCCTTCAATGTCAGTGTAAAACTATCTGCATGGTATAATAAGTCGCAATCATCACTCGTGCCCTGGTTAATGCACAACTGTTCAGTCCTGTTCGCAGATAACACGCTAAGCAATAGTCAGAGAGTAAAATTATCCCACGACTCGAAGAGAGAAAATAAAGTGATCCTTGCACCCGCCAAAAGACCTAGAAACAGTCCATATTCAATTTCAAGGCCCCTTTCCTCAAATGAGGTTTCAGCCTAATCCCACATTAATTCCATTAACAACATGGATGGCGCGTGAACAATGACCAATAAGCAACGAAAAAAAAATAATAATAAAAGATAAGAATAGAAGGAAAACATAAGAAAGGACATTTGCGCTCACCAACATTTTCCTTGGCTGAACAGTCTATGTAAAAATGGAACAGCGAGATCGGCCATTACGTAAAACCGTTTCTCATCTCAGTTCAAAGAAAATCTACAAGACTACTGTCTAACGAAATAGAATTCTGTAAACTGATATATTTTCTAAAGACTTCATTTTTCAGAGAATATTGGCTTTCTTATTGACACACGTTTATTTCTATCCTAAGTTTATAATGCAAAGACAAAATGAAATAATCCATCAGTGTCAGTGTACACTTTCTGCATCGTAAAACTGGCCGCGATCATCACTCGTGCCCTGGTTAATGCACAACCGTTCAGTCCTGTTCAAATCAAACAACCGATAAATCTGAAATAGGCTCATAGGTGTATGATATACGGCCATAGTGTTCTGGCGAAAAGACTGTCATATCATGTCACATGAAAAAATGACTCAACATGGCTAGCCTGCATTTAAATTCAGTTAAATTCAGAATGAATAAAACTTGTTCTCAGCCTCAATCCGTCGGTGCGGTAGACACGTATTCCAGAATCGTTTGAAAATCCAAGCATTGGTCACTACGAAAAATCATTTATGTGAGATATTTAAGCAGTTTAATGGAGTTAAAAATCAACTTATGCTCACCTAAGTGCGACATACGAGGGCGAAAACCAACATTCTTACAGCCTCGAGTATAACATCTGGTTAACTTGGAAATAATAGGATTCCGTCCCTGAATAATTAACGAGTAGTGAATAAAAATATGACATTGTCTGGCTTTAGTAAGGAGTAGCTTCGTGTCATTTTGAAAAAAAAATGGGTAATAGAGTCTTTCGATTTCATTGATAACCACTATCGGCTTTTGAAATAGAGATAATTAAATTTATATGAATGGGGAAAATTTCGATCCATTCCCACAGCGAGGTAGATAGACCTAGACCTTGATAGATTGGGACGTCACTTTTGAATAAATATCGGTTTTCTCATTTGAACACTTTCATTTCCTCCCTACGTTTATCATGCATGAATAATTAATGAGTAGTGAATAAAAATATGATATTGCCTGGTTTTGTAATGAGTAGCTGCGTGGTGTTTTGAAAATATAAGTAATAGAGTCTTTCCATTTTATTGACAACCACCGGCGCCTTTTGAAATAGAGATAATTATATTCTACGTATGGGGAAAATTGTGATTCATTCCCTCAACGGGGTAGCTAGAGTGATCATATTTCCAGAGAGCTATTATTAATTTCGTGTCATAGTTTTTTATAATATACTGTTAGTTGCCAACAACTTCATTCTCAGTAGTAGGGCCTCTAGTTCACTCTATACAAACTTCATGGTTAATTAATCCACGAAGAACCATGTTTAAGGCTATGAACCGTTTAACTTGGAGAAGAAATAACTAAGTCGTGGGTGAAATATTGGTCAATTATGGGCCTACACTGGGAAAAAGAGAAATTTAATGAATGTGCATAGTAAGATAACACGCTAAGCAATAGACAGAGAGTAAAATATCCCTCGACTTGAAGGGTGAAAATAGAGTGATCCATTCACCCGTCCAAAAAACTTCGAAACAGCCTATATTCAATTTCGAGGTCCCTTCCCACGAAAAAGGTTTCAGCCTAATCCCACACTAACAACATCAATGCCGTCCGAACAATCAGCAATAAGCGAACAAAAAAAAAAATAACAAAAAAAAAAATGGAAGTAAACTTAGCAAGGGAAATTTTCGATCACCAACTTTTTCCTTGACCAGATAATCTATGTAAAAATGGAACAGTGAGATCGGTCATTTTGTAAAATCGTTCCATATGTTGCAGTTCAAAAAAAATCTACATGACTACACTCTATTACTAAATAGAATTCTGTAAACTGATATATTTTCATGGGACTTTAGTTTCCATGAATATTGGTTTTCTTATTGAACACACATTATTTTTTTCCCTACCTTTATTATGCAAAGACAAAATGAAATAATCCTTGAATGTTAGTGTAAACTTTCTGCATCGTATTATAAGCCGCGATCATCACTCGTGCCCTGGTTAATGCACAACCGTTCAGTCCTGTTCAAATCAAACAACCAATATATAGGCTCAGAGGTATATGATATACGGCCATAGTGTTCTGGCAACAAGAATGATTTCTTCAATTCTTCAGTTTTCTATCACATAAAAAAATGACACAACATAGCTAGTCTGCATTTAAATTTAGTTAAAGTCAGAATGTTTGAAATTGTTCTCAGCCCCAATTCGTCGGTGTGGCAGACTCGTATTCCAAAATCATTTGAAAATCCAAGCATTATTCACTACGAAAAATCATTTATGTGAGAGATTAAAGCAATTTAATGGAGTTAAAAATCGACTTATACTCACCTAAGTGCGACATGAAAGAGCGAAGACCAGCATTCTTATAGCCTCGAGTATAACATCTGGTTAACTTAAAATAATGGGATTCCGTCCATGAATAATTAACTAGTAGTGAATAAAAATATGATATTGTCCAGCTTTGTAATGAGTAGCTGCGTGGTATTTGAAAAATATTGGTAATAGTCTTTCGACTTCATTGACAACCACCTTCGGCTTTTGAAATAGAAATAATTAAGTTCTACCTATGGGGAGAATTTCGATTTATTCCCTCAACGGCTTAGCCAGTGTGATTATACTTTCAGTGAGCTATTTTTAATTTCGTGTCATGGTTTTATGATATACCGTCAGTTTCCAACAACTCTATTCTCAGTCGCAGGGCCTCTGGTTAATTCTATACAAACTTCATGGTTGATTAGTCCTCGAAGAACCATGTTTAAGACTATGAACCGTTTAACTTGGAGAAGAAATTACTAAGTCGTGGGTGAAATACCTGTCAATTATGAGCGTGCACCGGAAAAAAAGAAAATTAATGAATACGCATAGTAAGATAACACGCTAAGCAATAGACAGAGAGTAAAATTATCCCTCGACTTGAAGAGTGAAAATAAATTGATCCTTGCACCCGCCGAAAAAACTTCAGCCTAATCCCGCACTAACAACATCAATGCCGTCCGAGCAACAAGCAATAAGCGAACAAACAAACAAAATAAAAATTGGAAGTAAAACTTTGCACGGGAAATTTTCGATCACCAACTTTTTCCTTGACCAGATAATCAATGTAAAAATGAAACAGCGAGATCGGTCATTTCGTAAAATCGTTCCATATCGCAGTTCAAAAAAATCTTTACAAATCTATAAAGAGATCCTTGCATCCGCCAAAAAACTTCTAAACAGTCTAATATATTCAATTTTGGGGCCCCTCTCTTTAAATGAGGTTTCAGCCTAATCACGCATTAACAACATCGATGCCGTGTTAACAATCCATCATAAGCAAAAAAACAAACAAACAAACAGACAAAGAAAAAAAGGAAGGAAAACGTAACAAGGGAGATTTGCAATCACCAACTTTTTCCTTGGGAAGGTAGTTTGTAAAAATGGAACAGCGATATCGGTCATTACATAAAACCACAGTTCAAAAAATATCTACTCTCTATACAGGTCTGTAAATAGAACTGATGTATATACACTCTCGAGTATAACATTCGGTTAACTTGGAAATAATGGGATTTCGTCCTTGAATAATTAACAAGTAATAAATAAAAATATGATATTGTCTGGCTTTGAAATGAATAGCCGCGTGGTATTTTGAAAAATATTGGTAATAAAGTTTTTCGATTTCATTGACAACCACCTTCGGTTTTTGAAATAAAGATAATTAAGTTATACATATAGGGAAAATTTCGATCCATTCCCACAACGGGGTGGCCAAGTTAATTATACTTCCAGTGCGCCATTGTTAATACGTGTCGTGGATTTTATGATTAACTAATAGTTGCCAACAATTTTATTCTCAGTAGGAGGGCCTCCAGTGTACTCTATACAAACTTCACAGTTAAAATTCGCTCTGCTATAGATAAAAGAGAAGCCGTTTGTGCATAACTTAATTGCAAATTGCTATTGTTTGTAAAATACAGAATGATCCTAGTACTGATATGTTGTGACAGATAACAAGCTTCTGGGTAAACATGCAAAGAAAATAAATTGTACACTCTGCAGGTAATTGGAGCTGAGCAAAGGTAACCCATCACAGAATTAGACAAGCAACTAGTATGTTTTGAAAAGAAAATAACAAACCAAAATGTTTAAATTGAGTCGTGATGATTGTCCCAAACTTTCTAAAGGGATGCTTGTCTCTAGCCGGTGTATAGAATTATGCACATGAACAGAGCAACGAGGCAAATAAATCTCTATGAACAAGTTGTGTCTCTCGGTTCTAAACCATTTAACAAAAGTTTACTACGTATTGTGTTAAGATTTAATACCTGATTTTATCATTT